CCCTGTGCTCTATTCCCTACACTGTCAGTAATACCGACCCCTGTGCTCTATTCACTACCCTGTCAGTAACACTGACCCCTGTGCTCTATTCACTACCCTGTCAGTAACAGTTTTATCTTTTATGTATTTTATGATTAGCAAATTTAATCCTTTTTGTTCTGTGTGAAGAACAGCTTTATTTTTTAAATTTCGTAGCTTAGTGGAGATGTTCTGTAGAAAGCATTTTAATCTTTTGTCTTATGGCTAACAACGTGAATTTCAACTCTAGCCTTACAAATCACAGCCTACACTATTTATTGTGCAACCCCCTCCCCAAAGACAGTATATTTGCATAGTTAATGAGTGATGTTAGCCTGCTTCTGGCATTTAATAATACAATGCTGCTGACCTTCCCTATTGTTCATAAAGCTACTCTGATTGTTTTGCATGAAATAACTTTTAAAAAACAGACCATGAAGGTTACGCCCACCCACAGATGCTTCTCAACCAATTAGTTGATTTGAATGCTTGTAGGAGGTGTGTGGCCATACGAGATAATTGGAGTCATTGCAGTTCTAGTATTCCATGCCACACCTCTCCATCCAGTGCAACCTGGCCAATCAGGGAGCTGCATGCCTGATCACATGAACGTGTCTTTGCTTTGTCTTGCCTTTACCCCATGTGACTGTGTGGATCTCCCTGGCAACATGGCATTTACGCTTCTCCTTTCTTTGCCATTTGCATTCAGCATGCCATCGCTTTTTGTTTGAAGGAGTCTGGGAATAAACCACCTGTGGTAATGTATCAACCTTCCTCTTCAGCCTACATCTCCAACATTGAGCTGGATGCAACCAGGCGCATGAACACAAAGACACACAAATCTTTCATTTTGTTTTACATTACGTTACATTACATTGCATTTATTTATTTGGCAGGTATTTTTGTCCAAAGCGAAGTACATGTGAGGCAGATTGTAAATCTAAAGTATACGACCGTCAAAGAACCAACTAGACATGAGTGCAGCTGGGCTGAGCTTCCAATCAATGCTGAGGAACAAGCACAAGTTAGCATCTGAGCAAGAGCTATGTGACATGTTACAAAAAACATAGCAAGAGCCTAAAAAGAGAGATATTCAATCAAAGACAGGTAGTACTATGTGAAAAGACCCAGGTTACACAAGAGAGCAGATGAAGGATATTAACTGAAGACAAAAGTGGTTAGGGGATGGCATGGTGGCCCAGTGGTTAGCACTGTTGCTTCACACCTCTGGGACCTGTGTTCAAGTTTCTGCCAGGGTTCCATGTTGAGTTGCATGTTCTCCCTGTGCTGTTGTTGGGTTACTTCCAGGTACTTTGGTTTCCCTCCACTGTCTAAAAACATGCCGATTGGAGTTTCTAAATTGTCCATAGATGTGCTAGTGTAAGTAAATGGTCTGTGAGTGTGCCCTGTGATGGATTAGAACCCCATCACAGGTTGTTCTGTGCATTGCACCAGTAGGCTCTGAACACCCAATGACCCTGAATAGGACAAGCAGTTACGGAAAATGGGTGGATGGAGAAAACTGGTCAGATGAGCTAGCTGAGGTGTTCCTAGAATAAATGGGTGTTAAAGCTTTTCTTGAATGTTGAAGGGATTCTGATGAACAGATGTGAATGGGTAGCCAATTTCACTATCAAAGAAACCACACATCTGAAACACCTAGAGTGAGACTTTGTGGTCTTTTTGATGAAGAGATCGCTAGGTGCATTGGCTTGCTGACCTAAGAGGGTGAGATGGGTTGTCTGTCTTGATGTGCATCTTGATGGAGATGGGTGCTGTTCTGCTAACAGCTCTGAAAGCCAGAGGCTTTGATGCAAGAGACGCGGGATGTGACATGGGAGCATTCTGGCTGATTGAATACCAGACATTATTGAAGCTTCACCTGGCACCAGGGACTTCTTATTGTTTGGTTATAGTTTGATTCAGTCATAACAGACCAATATAGTGAGACAGACTCAAATGGAAAACTAGAGCAACCATAGGGCACATACAATAAGGACAGCATATGTAAACCAGAGATGTGTTTGACTTTTCTTTGCTGCTAAGCACCGTCACAGAGAATATCTCTGCTGAATCATTTCACTTACTGTCTTTTCCTTTCACCTTGCATGACCTGTAGCTGCAATGTGCTGGACTTTTTACTTTCAGCCTCTGATACCATCTTCCTGTTTCATCCCTTTGTTCACTGCTCTCTAAAACCCTGGAACTGGACCAGCAGATATATAATCAATGTCCTTCTTTACTGAATTAATCTTGAATAAAATTAAATAACTATTTTTTTTAAAGTTAAAAATATGAGTCTAAATTTTGTTTGTTGACCATAAACGCTCATTGTGCTCCAGTTCCAGTTCTGGAGCACAATTTGATCATTATGTTCTTGTGGCATGTTCTCTGTGTTCTGTGTAAAACAGCGGGTTGGCTGCTGTTTCGTCTGTACTGTGTCGGCCATATGTTGAGGCATTAGTTCTGTGTTTTGTGTGTATGGGGGAGTTAATGTATTAATATATAAAAACAGACAGTAAATAAAATTATGGCTAATTTTCATAAATATGCTGATTGTAAAGAATTAGTGGAGTGGTGAAGGTGAGCTGTTATCCTAAAAGAGTGATGTGAGCTGGTAATAGGGATGTATGAGCAGCTGCAGTCAATGGGGTTAGTGAAGTATTGTTATTGTGGTACTTTGGCATGTTAACTCCACCAAAACCAACCCCCACCACACTGAGATCATCTCCATACTTCTGTCTTTCCCAGATCCGCTACAGGAAGGACAAGATTCTTCCCAAACAGACGCCAACATTTCCGCTTGTCACCAGCATACGGGACCTTTCCAATGGTTGTGCTATGGCCACAGTTGTCCATTACTACTGTCCCAGCCTGCTGCCCTTAGAGGGTATTTATGCATTATACGTACTACTGTCCCAGCCTGCTGCCCTTAGAGGGTATTTATGCATTATACGTACTACTGTCCCAGTCTGCTGTCCTTAGAGGGTATTTATGCATTATACGTACTACTGTCCCAGTCTGCTGCCCTTAGAGGGTATTTATGCATTATACGTACTACTGTCCCAGTCTGCTGCCCTTAGAGGGTATTTATGCATTATACGTACTACTGTCCCAGT